TATCTTATTTATAATCAAATAAATTATAAGGATATGGAAATCCATTTAGTTCAATGGTATAAAAGTACGAGATTAATTAAAATATATATATTTAGAATTAATTAATATATAATTGAGTGGACATGATATGATGATATAATATATTTTATTCTAAGATGAAGAGAATTTAGACCCACGGTCCTACTCCATAGGGATGCATGCGTCACTAAATGACATCATCTGGTACCTCAGCGTGCTTCATCCACGTGTCAATCAATTATTGGATTTGATGAAATGAACCCTTTACAAAATATATAATTTAAAAACTAAATTATAAATTATAAAAATCATTTTTATTTATAATCAACATTTAAAATGAAAAAATTATATTAAAATTTTGTTAAATTAAAAAATATGTATAAATTTTATTAAATAATAATAAATAAAAAAAAGATACACACCAACTTTAAAACATTTCAATTATCATTGACCATGTATTATATTTTCTATTAATTTAGAAATATTTTACTATTTAATTTGTTTTTGAGATGGAAGGTTATATTTTAAGGGACAAGTATTAAGCATTATAAATTAATAAATTTTAATTTATATTTAAAACATTATGACCCATCCACCATTCTCAACCATAACTAGAGGGGTTGCTAGCAATAATTATCATAAATGGTCCCACACATGGCGGCCCATCACTAATAACATAATTATTGTTTTATTATATTTTTCTTTAAATCCTACCTTTTTTAACAAACGTTAACTCGGTACTAAATTCAACTCATCATTAATATCAGTAGGGCAAGGTTTGATTGAGTTGGATTTGATTGTAACCCTATTTTCATGCCCGACAAAAAAACGTGAACCTGCAATAATCAAATCGAATTTTCGGCCTTTTAAAAATTCAACCCAATTCAAATAAAAAATAAAAACTAACGCAACCCAACTTTTATAGGTTGAATTGATTAGTCAAGATTAATAGAATTATTAAGGTATGTAAACACGCTAATCTTGTTTAGCAAAAAAGTCAAACGTTATGGTTGATCGCTTTATCAAATAGGTGATGATGACCACACCATAAAGGAAAAATCATTACTTTTCTCCACAAATCACACCATAGTTTAGATTTATATTAATCTAATAATCAAATTAAAATTACAAATCATGCTTTAATTTGTAGACATTTTTATTTTCCCAATTTTCATAGTTGTCATCATCTATACACAAGTATCTTATCTTTATCTGAAAAAATATGGAAAATGTAGCTTAAGTATTTAAAAATACTTAATAAGTAGCTCTACTGTTGGAGTCGGAAAAATGCAATCTATATAATTATGGTGGGACCTATCTTTTCACATATTCTTCTTTGGGCGCTACTTTCTAGTCAGGGTAGAGTTGAATGTGCAGTACTTCTCCATACATGGTTCACGTACACGCACATGGATGGTCTCACCAAGCGGGCTTGTATACATACCACCTGGGTCTAACTATGAACTAGCTTACGTTGATGAAAGCCAAAGAGGAAAATTGTGTTTTTCCATATCATAGTGTACGTGTCTGTATTAATCATAAGATACTAATGAAAGATCATCATCTTTCAGAAAATTTCATTGGCATTAATGGCAAGAATGGGAAGAAGAAACCAATGGGTCGGGAGAAGGAGCCCAAAAATAGAGCTAAGAAATTTCTACATGCAGTTGCGAAATTAAAATTTCTTAAGAAGAAGATAGAGTTAATAAGGGACCCACCAAAGATGACAATACAGTGCAACATCTAGATATTCTTATTAGAATTTATGCCCTAAAGTAATTAATTATTTAGTTTTTAATAATAATTCTTATTATTATATTTACAATTTAATATTATTCATTGGATGGAATCTTGAAGAAGATGTGGTTGACATACAAGAGAACCGTGTTCAGGTAATAAACTAAAGGATCTATAGTATATAGATAAATAAAGTTGAGTGACTTATCCTGGTAACATTATTAATACGACCCACTTTGTAATCATTATAAATGATTTGATCTAAATATTTCATGTAGAGACATGTGAGAGGAGTATCCTATACAATGAGTTTGTATAAGACTTGGACCAAGAAATGTTTAATTTCTCTTTATCAATCAATTAATTGAAAAGATTAGTATTTCACATGATGATCATATGCGTCTCGATCATAATCTTGAGTGAGTTATGAACACCTACCTATGAGGGATTGTCCATTAATTTGCATGGGTGAGAATGACTTTTTTAGCCGATTTAATATACTTAACATTTTGCGGACTTGACCAAATAGAGAATTACGAACATAATATCATGAGATGAAATTCACTCTTTTGTATATAAGAAAAATAGACGACTTGTACGGTTAAGTACTGATTTCGATACTTGTGCTCTTAAATTTATTTCGGTATACTTTAATCAAGGATCAAAACCCACAGATACTTAGTCATCCAAATTCAAGAATATGCCTTAACAACCTTTTCTAGTACTCACCCTACAATGCACAAAAATCACTTTAAATGCATACACAATCATGATCTACCTCTATAGATATACATACATGGTTTTGAGGTTTGTTGTTGTAAAGGAATCATTCACAGTGGATATCACTATCACAATGATGGTGAGAAAAACAGATATCAATCGGGTGAGCTGTTGCATGCCATCCTGTGGGCGGCTTAAAAAAGTGAAGGCCCATGGTAGGCCTAAGTTATCTTTTAGTACTTACTTTGAGGGGACTCAGATGGCGACAGCAACGACAGACAAAATAAAAGATTTGTACAAATCACTTTTGGACATACTTGAAGACTCCATTTGTGGTTCACTCATTAAATGCATGCTTATCTCGATCATAAAATTAAAAAAAAAAAAAAAAAAAAAAAAAAAAAAAAAAA